AAACTTCTTTTTTTCTGCGACTTCGTTTACTGCTCAAATAACACACGAAATTCATGTGTATTTGAATACCATTAATTTATTGAAATCAAATATTTACAGCGAATACTTCCATTTCATTGATAAAAAAACTGTAAATGTTTCTAAATTATGGGCATAACGCTTATATCTTTATTAAATTCAATTTAAAAGACCTCCAAAAGTTCATTAAAGATAACATTATTTATTGTACAAAATCAATCAAAAAAATATTTCATATTAAAAAAGTATAATAATTGTAAGTAGGAAATTTTGTCCTAAAAACATTAACAGAAGATTCTATTATATTTCATTAATGACTACAACAGTTAAAAAAAAATATACATTTAAATGTAGAGCATGAATGTATATGCTTGGTAATCTCGATGAAATTCAAGAACTTTCAAATATCTTTTACGTCGAATTGTTGATTATTATAACATTAATATAACATTATTTTTATATCTAAATGATCGATTTTTGAATATATTTAGTTCCTCGATTTATCCGATTTCAAACTGGGATAATGGCGGAACCGATTACACTCACTATACGAAGTATTGCCTTACATAATTTATGTACATCGCATTTTTACTGATGCATAATTACATCGTAGTATATACAATAAATATTGAGAAGGCACCCAACGTTTGTAATTTGACATTACAAATACTTTACCATGTTCGTATATTGCTATTCGTGATGTGTGTGTGTATATTTTTTTACCTGTAAAATGCGGAGTTCCGTTCTGAAAAATCGATAAAATACCGCCAAATATCTCGTTGTGAAACGTGTTTGATGTGTTCACCCCGAAGCCATGCTCATATATTTTTTTTATTTCTTTTAAAGTATGCGGAGGTGTATATACAAAAATATCAATTTCATCTGCTTTCATACAAGGGCTTTGATAAAACAAATACATCTTAAAAATCTACTCCCCCAAACATCAACAATTCAATCAGTTTTGCTTTTGAACAAAATTTGTTTCATAATTCTTGATTTCTACTTTTTTTTTATAAATTAACATAAAATAACCATGTTTGATAAACATTTATTTTTAATTTAGTAGAAAGACTTTAGAATAAGTAAATTTTATTTTTAAGTTTAATAACGAAAAATACTTTATTAAATAATTTTGTATAGAATTATAATAAATTTATATAGAAGAACATGGATTTAGTTTATAACATATGTATTAATTATTTGTCTCAATGTTTCATAATCAATTATATTCTATTGTTATGAGTTGAATGTTGAAAAAAGATGGATAGTAGTTGAGATTTGATTTTCTGGAAATTGCAGTTTCGCTATGATAATTGTGAATATAACTAGCATGTCGAATTGAAAATAAATCCTAGTGTAGTCTTAATTTGACGGCGGCATTTGGGATTCCAGCAGCATGTTTCCTTTGAAGATCGAAGATACTGCTAATTGCCAACTTACCGCGTGCATTTTTCATGAGCATTGAATAAATCATCAGAATCAGAGCGACTTGATGCCTTCGCTTGAATCGGTTCGGCCAACTTCCTTGATAGAAATTAGTTCATTGTTCCACTTGACATTAATAATTTAGTACACGGAAAAACTTTTTATGACACCGGTTTCTAATTATGGGTCAACTTAATGTTAATTACCATTATTTTTTTGATTTCAATTCAGAAATAACATTACAAATTTAATATTCCAAAACGCTTCTTCCAATATGTAAAATTACTGAGAGTAATGTTTAGATTTATTTTTTGCACATACAATTATATTGGTAATAATTATATTTTAAAATTGAAGTATCTTGTTTATTAATTTTATAATCAATTATAAAATTAATTATATACTTTTTTTAATGTATTTTATTATGTTTCAATGATATTTATTTGATAATACAGAAAATGTTAATATTACAGTAGGCATGGATTGTATATGTCTAATATTCATATTTTGACAAACGTTACAATTTTTCGGACCGCGCAACAAAAGCTAAAATTCCAGCGAAACAGAACATAATGGCACAGGTAGCACTTACCAAAGTATTCAAAGTGAACAATGCGTTATTGAACGTTATGAAGATAAGGACAAGGAGTTATTACAAGGACAGTAATGAGCCGTCGCAGCCGATATCGGGTAAAGAACCGAAATACGTGAACGCCGAGCAATGTTTCGACCAGTTGAAGTCGGGAAACGTGGTCTTTATCCAAGGTGCAGCAGCGACTCCGGCCGATCTGGTCACGGCGATGACCAAAGTCGGTAAGGACAAGAAGCTGAAGGACATCGTGCTCTGCCATATCCACACCGAAGGAAAAGCGCCGTATTCAGCTAAGGAGTACGAAGGTATATTCAGATCGCATTCGTTCTTCGTCTCCGGTAATGTGCGAAAATCGGTGGCGGAGGGAAGGGCCGATGCCATGTCGATCTTCCTGCACGAGATCCCATATCTCTTCTACAGGAAAATCTACAAACCGGACATTTCAATCGTGCACGTGTCTCCACCTGACTCTCACGGCTACTGCAGTTTGGGAACGAGCGTGGACATCACTAGGGCAGCCATTTGCAACAGTAAGGTGATAGTTGCACAGGTGAACCAGAAGATGCCTAGAACATTCGGAGATGGGATCATACACATTAGCCACATTGATTTCGCCTACAAAAAGGACGAACCGCTGCCAGTGCATGGAGGCAAAGGTGGCCTGAGCGATACCGAAGTGAAAATTGGTAAGCTCATCGCTGAGAATCTGGTGAAGAACGGAGCCACGCTTCAAATGGGTATTGGTAATATACCAGATGCCGTGCTTTCACAGCTAGGAAACCACAAAGATCTCGGTATTCATACCGAGATGTTCTCGGATGGTGTTGTTGCGTTGGCCAAGAAAGGATGCATCACTAATAGACTGAAGAGGACGCATCGAGGCAGAATTGTGACTGGGTTCGTGATGGGCACTCAAAATCTGTACGACTTCGTCCACGATAATCCGTTCATCGAATTCCTGTCCATGGATTATGTGAACAACACGAGGGTTATAGCCGCCCAGCCCCTGATGACTGCCATTAATTCTGCGATTGAAGTCGACCTCACTGGTCAGGTCGTTGCGGATTCGATCGGTACACGCATGTATTCCGGATTTGGTGGTCAAGTGGATTTCATCAGAGGCAGCGCCGAGGCGGACGACGGAAAAGGGGTGCCGATCATTGCTCTGCCTTCGATCACCAAGAAAGGTGTTAGCAAAATTAATGTCACTTTGAAACCTGGCGCCGGTGTCGTCACCAGTCGAGCACACGTCCACTACGTCATTACTGAGCACGGAATCGCCAATTTGTTTGGCAAAACAATGAGACAGAGAGCTTACGAACTTATTAAAATCTCCGATCCTAAGCACAGAGAGGCCCTCGACAAAGCCGCCTTCGAGCTTTTGAAATGCAAACCGTCACCTTAGATATATTATAACCAGTACATCCTTATTTGCATTCCCATCAGTAGTTATGTTTTTATATGATACTTTTCTATTTGCAGAAATATATGCCAAGAAATATGTTTACTCTTTTAATTTTGTTTTATTTACAGTTCAGTACAGTCCAGTCAATGCTTACAATAAAATTGTGACACATCAGTATAAAATGAATAAATAACCGAAGACACTCGAACGAATGATATTAATCGATAAATTGTGCTTCACAGTTTGTTTTTTACTAAAACTCTACCTAAAACATCACGATTTGACTAAAATAAAAGAAGTACGTTCGAGAGAATGAAATTACACGCGTGTACTAAAAGCAAGCATTTATATGGGAATTCACCGTCCGATTAACGTACATTCGCTTAGCGCACGGTAATTAGTGTATTCATTAGGTCGTTAATTGTAATGCTAAGAATGATGTAATTAGTAATCATGGGCCTATTACAGCAATGACAGTAATACTGAAGTTCTACATTTATAGAACAGTATAAAAAAGAAGATAATTAGTAATTAGTATTGTTTATAATTTTTAATCAGTTTGCTCTGCTTTGCATGAGTACTTACTTAAATATCATATATTTTTGCTAGGGAAGTAATAAAGCTATAGTGTGTATCTATCTTTATATAGATTAGTTATTTAATGGTTAATTCTTTAAATTGTTAGCTATCAATATATAAAATTTTAATTGTTAATGAAATTTAAAACAATTAAATTATTTTCATTTGTTTCAAATTAATAAGAGATATATTTTTGGTCAATTATCAAATAACAGTTATTTTTAAAGTGATTAAAAATGGATAGTATAAAATCTCGCTTCTGCAGCTTTCCTGATGTGAAATCGATGCGGCGCAAAACAGAGTTCTTACGTGAGAAAATATTCAGTGTTCAAGTGCGGGTTATCAGAAAAGTTTCGGATCTTTTGTGTGCCGGCGTTTGCGTGCAAGTGAAGTTCGACGTTGTATCATCAAAAAAAACTTTGTATTTTATGTTTTCTAAAGAGTTGTGGATATTGGTATTGTAGAAGTAGCGAGAACTCCTCAATATAACTACATTGGGAAAGTTTCGCGCTCCCGCAACGACTTTATTTGGCGTCGGGATTTTTACACGAGGCGACCGGGTCGGTCCTACCGCTCCCCGTGTGGCAATATTTACGGGACTTTTGACGTTCTCGCCACCCCTTGCGTCCACGGAGGGTGGAACGAATCCTGTCCATACTTTTATTACGTTTCCGCAGTTTATAAACGCAGTGTCCGAAAGTTTCGTCACTACATTTATCACCGTAGGGAAACAATAAGTTTATCTTAAAGACTCGTAGCGAAAAAGCAAAAGCGAAACTAAACAGAGTGGAAAAGTATTATGAATTATGGTGTTCTATAGACTGGATGTTTCCATTTGCGAAGAGACTCGCTTCCTCGGGATGTACACGAGTATGGATATATATATAGAGAGAGAATGTGAGAGGCTCTAGGGTTATTAGAAGGACATGCTTATTGTTTCGGAAAGTTGAATTTGTCACAGCGCGGGTATTAAAGTTAGAACGTGATAGTTGGGGGGGTTTGGCGGAAAGGGGTGGCGGTACGCCGAATGGGAGGAGGGCTAAGAGCGCGTTTTGCTTAAGGTGAAAGGCTAATTAGTGAAGTGAATATTAATTAATTAGTCTCAACCCGCGCCAGCCACCATAAGGAGCAGCTAATAGCTGAGATAGTTACATCGCTTACACAGATGGGTTTTACGATACGTTAAATATTAACAGCACTCCCGTTGCCTCCTCCAATTCCTCCATGTTCCCAACAAAAATTGCCACCGAAATGCCTCCATTCAACTTGGAACTATTCCATTATTAATTAAATACGAAATACTTTTATCACAGCGAAATGCGTGTCCGGAAAAAGCAAAAGAAAAAAATGAGAAGGAAGCCTAGAACAAAAAAAAAGAGGAATGAGAGTTGGTTACCAGGAAATTCCTATCGATCCCCGTACGTTTCCTCCCGAGAGGAATACACATAACAAACTTTTTAATTTGAAAACTAAAGCCGTTTCGCTAACGACAAAAATGCCGCGGATAACGTTATCATGTAAAGTCATGAGTACTAAAAAAAAATCATGGAACGAAAGTTTCGGGGAAAATTGAAAATCTTTCGGAAAGCCTCGTTTCCTCCGATGGGAATTTAAACGGCCGTTCCGCTAAATGTCGAAAGGACGTCGGCTTCAGTTTATTTAGCACACATTTATTTTCCAATAACTGCCACGGATACACTTTGTCCTATAACCGAAACTTTAGTTGCAAAGCTCTATCCTTTCAAATCCCCATGTGCTTCGCATATCTCGGTCGCATAATCGGAATCAATGAATTGCAATCTTCCGAAACTTCCACATCTCTATAGTGGATAGAACACGCAATTCTTTTTACAAATGCAGTTACGTGTTTTTATTATCATTATTAATTCACGATATAAAGTTATTTTGCAGGCGAGGCTCTCTCCTCTTTGTGTATTTTATAGGGTTTTAGAATAAACGAGTTTAAACATCGCTTAAATCTACTCATGTCAAGTCCGCTAAATGTTTTCTGCTCAGCAGAAGAATGGTTTTCCTATATAACGTTAATATTTAAAGCAAAATCCCTGTATTTCCAGCTTGTTTTTATACTGTATGCAGATTATTTTATCGTGACCTATTTTCAATATAACAAAAACATATTTTAACAATATTTTTTTTACAATTTATACAAATATGTCATCCACCTGACAGAATTAAAATACAATTATCCGTACGAACGTATAATTATTTTAGTCCGCGAAGCTATGTATATTTTACTTGTTATATTGTCAGATTGAGAAGCATTATCTTATATTTTTTCAAAAACTTTAATTAGATTAGCACATGTATAGACATAATGGCGAGGTTCAATGACAAAGAATAAATATATATTGTTCGTGCGAATTAAGTGATTTCGATTTTCGAATGATTGCAAATTTCGTCAATTGAACGCAAATGCCAAACAAAGCCGAAGAGGACATTGATCAGATGTGTTGTTTTATACATAATTCCTACATGTCTACTTTACGATTAAATTAAAATTTTGTTATTTCTCAAAAAAAAAACTATGTTTTATATAGTAACTTATTTCAATTGATATATCTTGTACTTTACAAATTACTTAGTAATTATTACACAGCGTGTAGACTATTTTAACAATTTCACTATTCGAGTAATTATTGCTCCTTTTTTGTTTTCAAATTTTCATGAATTTGTCTCGACGTTTCGAGTTTTTCGTTACGTTGGGCAATCATTAGACGGGATACATTTTTCACAAGCGTTGAGTGCACTTCTTTGAGCACAGGCGGAGCATTATCTATTCATTGGATAGTTCTTTCATCTTCTGCCGAACATGCTTTAACTATTTGTTAGTTTCTTCACTGATATTAAGAATGATTTCATTTGATATAATGCGACAAATCATATATATTGATCGCAATATTTCCGTCCAATTATTCATGTCATTTTGTTGAACTGTTGCTAAAGTTATGCTATTTCCTGAAACTGAAACGCTCGATAAATGTTTACTCGGTATTTCTATTTGTATTTGTTTTGGAAATTGTCGTTATATAAATCCGTAGTTATGTTGGGTTGATGTTATCCAATTTGTAAAGTTATTAGAGTCGGTTCTGTGACCTTTACACGTGTAAATTGTTGCAGAACCGTAATTTTTCTACACATGCAATTTAATAATTTACCGAATGCTCCGCACTGGTTCTAAATACTGGGAACGTATTGTTGCACATGGCACGGTAATAGCTAAATAAGTGCAAAAGCGGTGGTGTGGTTGGAAATTTCTTGGAAATTGCTGTGAAAATAAATGTTTCGAGCATGGGGGAACAGCGAGAAAGAAGGAATCTCATACCTACCAACCACCACCTGCGTAGAGGCCTTCGCGTGTTCTCTATTTACGCGGAAGTAAGCACCTATACAATGAGCCTAGCAGCCGTAGATAGATAGCGTTGATAACAAGACTAAAGTGAGGAGTAAAATCTTGATGGTCTGTAAACAGCGCCTATATTATTCCACTTTCATCTAACCAACGAAAAATAAGCAATTTATTTTTTGTGTGTTTAAAAAGAAAATGTGTTCTCGCTTCACATGTTCCTGATTATGGGCCGCAAAACGGACGGCGAAAAATAGGAAGGTGAGAGAGGAAAAGAGAGATTTATAAAGTGAAAAGGAGAGATACAGAGAGGAAACTGGAACTGGTTGAGGGATGTACTGTAAACTTCATTTCTCGCTAATCTGTTCCTCTGTTTCTTTTTTTGGGGAAAGTTGGCAGACGCAACGAAACTAACAAACGCTAACAAAAGTTCCAATCATGCATGTGCCGAATGCGCGCTCGCAAAAATACAAAACGCAACTCTCCGGATTAAAAGCCGCTTCAATTATGTTTTGTGGGAATTAATAAGAACGGAATGGGTATATTGGTTTCTAGACTGGAAACGTCCTACATTTTTTTTGCTGTTATTAGTATTGTTCCATCAAAACTGGAATACGAAACAATAATTTATTTCAATATATCCAGCATGCAAAATATGTACGAATTTATATTGATGCAAATATGTGCAATTTATTAACAAAATTCGGTATCACGAATATTAGAAACAAGGTTATTGCAGAAAAAAATACAAACTTCAAAAGTAAAGAAATATTTCAAAGGGTTGTTTGTAAGTCGAATTTGTTTGTAACTGGGAAAAGGGGAATTTTGAAAAATTTCAAAATATATTACTACACTAATAATAATAATGTTTATTGCATCAGTCGTACATGAAAAAAAAAAACAAAATAAATATATATAATTTTGAAAAAAAAGTCAAAGTTCTTGTAACAAATTACAGCTTTTATAATTTTGTTATATTGTTTCTTAACAAATATGCAATCTCCAGTAGATCACGATTCTATACTTTAGTTATTTCTTATAGTAGCGTCTTCGAAAA